GGAACCGCCCCATTCTTCCCTCCGCAGGTCGCTGACTACTGCCGATGACATTGGCGTACGCCTCTTCCGTCCTTCCACAGGGTAAACTCAGTGTAGTGGAAGCCGAGGGCCAGCTGTCTACTCCCCACATATCAGAAGACGGGTGGGCTCCGTCAGAAGGCCCAGGAGGCCAGTAGGAACGGAAAAAAAAGAAAACCGACTACGGGTCCGGTGGTAGGCAGCCCCCTCCCTCTCTACGCCGTCGTACCGCGAAAGTTGAGGCCCCCGAAGAAGGACCCCAGAAGGTCAGCTTCCATTGGCCTCATCCACCGCAAGGCTGGCAAGACGTCTCCTCGCATGCGAAGCAGTTTGCCATTGTTGTGGTTTCTTACCATTGGGCAAAATATAGTTGGTGGTAGATCATGAGGACCTCTAGTGGTTCTAGTGGAGTTGTTGCTGCTTCGGCTGCCGGGAGAGATCTCTAAATCCTATCATTTGGTGTTGACAAGATTGCGAGATTCTACACGTATTGGGAATGTGCCTTCGGACGGCGATAAAAAAATTAAATCGTAACATTTCGTTTCAATTGTTTAAAATACAATTGTTTCTTTTCTTACCATGGCTATTTTCCTGTTCATCTGTCCGGTCACGTTACTGTGTTTCGTCTGTGTTCACATTTGTGTGTATTTATCTTTCCGTGGGTGTGAGGTGATGGAAAAGAGGGTGTGGGTGGGGGGACTAACCCATGGTTAATGGCTGATGACGAGGGAGTTTCGGGTCAGAATGTGAGCACTTTTGTAAGCGAGTGTCCTGAAGGATGCTGGAGTGAGGCGTCGCTTGGGTTAGTCTGATATGCATGGTGGCGAACGCGATGTGAGTAGGGAGTGTGTTATAACTATACAATTTATGCATGGTATTTATGTCGGTTTATAAGCACTGTTTTTCTCTGCCATACATAGGTACATATTCAATGGAATTAGTGTGTCTAGTGTGTCCACGATTTGTGTGTATGTCAGTTCTTCCTCTTTCTTGCTTTCTCTCTCTGTATATGTGTTCATGTATGCGTGTATATATATATATATATATATATATATATATATATATATATATATATATATATATATATATATATATATATATATATATATTATATATATATATATATATATATATGTATATGTATATATACCACATATATATAGACAGAAAAATAGACAGGTATATAAATAGACAATCCGAGAAAAAGATAGAGACAGTTATACATAAATATTGATCTTTAAAATGATATATTACGTTTTGATCTAACGCCGACGAGGGGGCATTGCCGAGTCCACCCTTCGTTTCCACCAGCAGAGGTGCCTCATAGTGAGCCGACAGGCAGGGACTCAGGCCATCTCAAGCTCTTCACGGCAGGCTTGATCGATCTGCCCAAACCACGATTTCCTAGGTCGTCTCATAGGCCTCCTCCATCCAGGGTTGTCTCGCACAGATAACCTGGTGGACAGGATCCCCGGGGGGAAACGAGCCAGGTGGCTGTATAGCCTAAGTTGTCGATCACGGATTGAGCAAATAACAGGTCCTGTGCCAGTTTCACAGAGCAACCGTTGTTTGAACCCATGGTTCCGCCAATTGTATCCCATGATCCGGCACAAGGACCTATTACAAAAGGCATTGAGACCGGATTCCAAGGCAAAGGATAATGTCCAGGTTGAACTACCCTATACTGAAAAAGGCATCATCAGGGCCTTAAAAATACATAGCTTGGTTCTTCTGCACAAATACCGGCATCTCCAAATGTGTCAAGAGACTTCATGACCCCTGTATGTAAAACTCTTTGTGACCAGTGTTCTCGCCGCAAGCATTTATCGACCAAATAGCAAGTCCCCAAAGTCTTGGATCTTGGTCTTGATCCAAGACACCTTTAGAGCCAGGGGCTTCGCTTCATTGCTAAATGCATCCAGAACCACCACTAGGGTTTCCAAAGACTAAGAATAGAAACTGGCAGAATAGTCAAGGTCAGTATTTTTGGCATTACCCAGAGTAGCTTCACAATGACTTTGAACAGTAGCTCTGCTCAGTATCCAGTCCATGCAAGTGTTGAAAAGTGTTGGTGCAAGGACACAGCCTTGCCTTACTCCTGAACTAACAGCAAAGAAGCTCGACAGGCCCCCACCACAATTTACAGCACTTTCACTACCAGTATACAGGCTTGGGATTCCTCTCAATCTAAGGATCTCTCAGAGTGATTCCCGATGCACCTTATCAAAACCCTTCTTAAGGTTGATATATACTGCGAGCATACCCGAGCTCATGACGACGCTTTATAATGACGTGAAGCACAAGGATACTGTTTATTGTGGACTTACCAGGAGTGAATCTAGATTATTCCAGCCTCTGGTGCCTCAGCACGTGATCTCTGATATGTCTCAGAAGTCTCAGAAGGATGTGAGTGAGACCCTTGCCAGATATACTAAGCAGTATGATGCCTTGTTGGTTGCTGCAGTCCCATTGATCCCCTTTTCCCTTTCAGAGAGGGATGACCAAACCCCTCAACAGGTCAAGGAGCAACAGTACCAGACTGCCAGATGGCAGCTAGGACAGCGTGCAACCCCTGCACCATTGGTTCACCAACACCCTTTAACAATTCAACTAGGATTCTGCAACAACCTGCTGCTTACCCACTCTTTAGCTCGGAGATCGACCCCATAACTTTAGGTAGGGAGGGTGGGTCCTCATTGATGGGTAGGTCTAGAAATGAAATCTCGACACTACCCGTATCCAAGTTAATTGTCGGTGGATCAACCTGGTACTGTAGCCGACCCCTGCAACCTGCAGCGCGGAATACTTCACCCAGGTTGGGTCCAGCTCCACAACCTTACCTCTCTCCCTCACTATCAGCAACTTCGCGAAAACGCATACCAAGACCTGATTGGTTGACACCGGACACCTCACGGCTCGCTTATAGGACCGCAGGCTCCCCTCGCTTCCGGGTAGCTAGCACAGCTCACCCCTTCTTAAGCTCCGGGCCGAGTTCAACACTCACGATCCCCCAGCAGAGTAAGACCCAGCCAGCAGCAACCAGGCCTACCCCGGCTCTCCCCGTCGATCTCCAGCATCCCAGCCAAACCTGTGGGCACTCACAACCAGACTCAAAAGCTCAAAGAAATGATTGACACCAGTCTATGGCGGATGCAAATCCATTGCCATAGTACAACTGCTAAAAATACTTAGCCCAATGCTCCCGCACGCCAACAGAGTCTGAGACGATCTGGCCACCTACTGACCTGCCTGCAGTCACCTGTGAAGAGGGTTTAGAGTTCAGCTTTCTCGGGGCTTGGTAGGCAGGACGAAGGTCATTTACTAAGAAATGGCTTTCGACCTCCTTTGCCAGACTTCTAATATATTGTTCCTTCTCCAGGTGCTAACGAGGATCAGTCTCTCTTTGGCTGCATTACCCACATCACTACGTCCAGTGATGTGGGTTAAAGCCCTGGTACCAAAAGCCAGAATACCTCATTTCTAGGACCTTGCAAAGCCCCATTAAAGGAGACTATTCTCGCTGCTGGCACCAGCTCCCAAACCTCGGGGACCTACAGATACCTCATAATCAGCTCGATGGCTGCCAGATACCACATTAAAGTCACCCAGATCAATGCAAATATCTGGCCGAGGACAACTGTCCAAAACAGAAGCAAGTTTTGTGTAAAACATCTCTTTCACGTCGTTTACAAACATCGGAAGGAGCATACATAGCAATAAAAGTAATTAAGCCAAATGCAAGCTTCAGTCTCAATACCGTTATATACTCAATGATCGGAGTAACCTCTATCATCGAGGGCTGAAGTCTGCTGGAGATGGTTATGGCTACTTCCTGAAGATGGTGGCCATCGTTGCAGCCCGACCAGTAATAGGGGTAGCCACCTACACTGATCACTGACACAGTGACACACTGACAGTTTTCTCACCTCCGAGAGAGCAACCACCTCCACACTCAGATACCTCAGAAAGTAGTGGCAATCGATCAAACTCGTAAAAATCGGACGTGCCAAGCCCCCAACCTAATACACCGCCTGAGGTTAAGCCTTGGGCAGACACTCCGGGAGGACGCCACCTCTGTCACCCCCGACGACGATGCTTCATAAAGTCCACACGTCCCCTAATCCATCTGTGGGATCCCCATGAGCTTTGCCCCTCGAGCTTCATGCCAGGTTGGCGGGGACTGGGACACAGATGGGACTGTTAACCCCAGCTCCCAACAGTCGCCAACCCAGAGGGAACCCACAGTGTGCCTTACTTGCTGGGTAGAAGGGATGTTTTCCCTTCCCCCGACACATACACCTACACGATAGACTGCCAGTTAATGTTCTCTTGGGGAGTTGGACTGGCATAGCCCACCTCCCCGAAGCCACCCATTAAACTCAGAGGACAAGGGGGCAGAAGTAATTACAAAGCCAGACCATGACTGTACCTTTAGGGCTCTAGCCTTGGACCGCAAAGTGCCTCGTTTCCATGTGTGACCACGAGGAGGCACTGCAGAAGTCCTGATGATAGAGAGGCTATGAGCTGACAGGGGAGTCTAGTGCAGAGCTGCCCCCTTTTCACAGCAGCCTAGACAGCGGTGGCTTGACTTCGCTTTATATTTACATCATTTTATATTTGCCTCACTTTATAATGCTTTATAATTTTCTTTTCTTCACAGTAAAAAGTACTGCAAACTAGACGCCCCAGATGGCGTCATAATCTCCACTAATAAGCTGAGTATGGAATTCAGACGAAAGCAATTTAAGTCAGATGAGTTCTCTGGCGGATTCTTATGTGAGATCTACACTGTAGGAGGTATGGCGATTGTGTGAGGAATTTTCTTGTAAGAGGTATTGGTTGTTTGTGTGAAAAGGAAGCGTATATATATTTCTTTTGTGAATTGTTAAAGTGTTTCTTCAAGAATAAATGGGTCCCAGGTATGTGATTTATTGTTACTGCTTTTTTTCAGATGCTCCAACAATTGCTCCATCAACTACAGC